GCTGGGCTGACTGCAGGAGCTGTGGCGACCAGCGATGCTGCTATCACTTATTAACTGAGTCACGTCTCCCCCTGGGTGTTCTGAGAATGCAAAGCAATGTTAATACTGGCTCCAGCCAAGAACTGCTGTCTTCTGGGAAAGGAAATTTGCAAGTACCTTCTAGAGAATTCTGTCCCTCTACTGGTCCGTGATTTGAAAGGCTCTGACTTGGCTCACCTTGGGAGGTGTGGATAACGCAATGCAGATGAAGGCCATCTGATCTGTGAGATACAGCTGGGAGGCTGTTAAGCCATGTGGTCACCCATACTTCTGGTCTGGGGACAGTCCCCCAGCACCCTGACAAGTAGGAGATTTGTAAGTTAAATAAGAACCACAAGTTTGCAAAGAACAATGAGGGCATTGAGGAAAGAGGCTTATGGAAGCAGATGTTCCTGGTGGATTTTCTGCATGCCTAAGGGTGAGCTACCCAACTTAATTGAAATAGATATGGAAGGAGGCCATGATGAGAGCATGAAGAAGGAGCTAAAGTCATAGCCTGGCCATGTGGCTGTGCCAGGGCCCTATCAGGTTGAGGCTTAACACCGAGATAATAGTAAGGACAGAAGTTTAAGAAAGAGCTGGGTGGAGAAGCAAGAGCCTCCACACACTAGGCGACCCATCAAGGTAAAGAGTCTAGGGGTAAGTGTTTAAAGGGCTGGATGTGAGGTCAGGAAGGGTGCCGTATCTAGTGTCTTGTCATCTTTTCAGGAGTTAAGATAGAAAGTGATGTTAACCAGAGAGCCAGAGGCAGAGATGGGCTGGGAGAGATCTGGAAAGGATGAGGCTATGACCCAAGTTGACCCTGAGACTCCAGTGGAAGATGCTCAAGGCCAAGTTTGGGAGCTGCATCGAGAACAGGAAGAAGTCCCCAATGTGTCAGTGGAGAACAGCAAGGGCTGCCCCCCACCTGGTGCACATACAGACCCTGCTAAATGTGGGTGCCCATGTGGCAGTACTTGATGCTTCTCCCATGCATTCAGCATAGTCTGCTTTGGGTTCTGTCGGAAAGGAAGAAGCAACAGCTAACTCCCAAACACACAGCTCTTGGGTTATGGTTAGGGTTTGTACATGACTCAGACTAACCATGTCCTGCACATGGCTCAGTCCACACATGATCCTGAAGAATTCATGCTTGCTTATAGCTCCAGGTGACTCTAGTAAATTGACCAGAGTGCTAACCTGGGGAAAGGCAGAAGCCCACAGGCCAGGGTATTCATCATCTTAGCTTTCCTCACGCAGCTCAATAATTACCATATGTTACTTATTATTCTACCTGAGAATTTTTCTACATGTCTACACACCAGGACCTTTACTAGCCACTGCCTTTACTGTCCGGCCTACAGCTACTCTACACAGCAAGCTGCCCATCTTCTGATCTCTGCATAAGACCAAACTTGGTAGCAATACCTTTTAGCCCTCCGGTACCTTTTTTCCTTGAGCTGATTTCTGGCTCTTCCATCTTCCTTAACCCCATCTCCATAGTTAGACTGAGGATTTCTAGCCTCTTCTCATTCCTGCACTTTCCTCCCACCGCCCTTTTCCAGAAACCACCTGCTTAGTTTCCATTCACTCCACACAATGGGAAACTCCCCAATCAGGAGCTGGGGACTGTAGCCAGGAATTTATAAAGCTACTTCATGCACCTTCTGTCACCCCCAACTGCTCATAAAACTTTCCCTGCCCTTCAGACAGGGACCCTTAGTCCTAATTAGCACTTACACCCACATATGCATACATATGTGCATGAACATACACACATACACACACGCACACCATCATCTGCCCCTGAGCCTCCAAGGCTGCTTTGAACTCATCAGACAACATGAAACAGCTGGCCCCAGGTCCCTTTTGTCATTGCTCCTGCAAATCCAGGGCCCGGACTCTCCCAGCCTTGTCAGCTGCCAGACAGAGCTCCCACCTGAAACATTCAGGTCTGTCCCTGAGCCAAGACTGCTTGGCCCATTCCTGATCAGAGGCAGTTACCCCAGCATGGAAAAGCAAACCTGAGCCTTCCTTCCACCAGACGTCTCAATGCTGCAGCCGGGGCTCATTCGCACACATGATTTATGATCTAATTTAGCATGTAAGGAAACATCTGCATTTTGCTTTTATCATCTTGCCAGCAGACAGGCTGAAGACAAGATGCGTACTGTAGACTTGTTTAATGGGGCCTTAAACATTCCCTCTCACTAGCCTGAGCTTATACAAGGCTCTAGTTTCAAGAATTGTCTGATCTAACTGACCTAACACAAACAAACATGGAAATAAAGCTCTCCTCAACACGTCCACACCACAGGGACAGTTGGAATGGCCATAAAATCCATGCTGATCAAGTCCCCCAAAGAGCATTCCAGTGGCCAGGAATGTCTTGGAATTGGGGGAATAAAACAGTGACTTGGTTATTTAATACTGTGCATCCAGACTGGGTCTCTTTTATTATTATATACAATTTTAAAAATGCTCATTTAGAGCACACGAACTTAGAAGGATATTTGTTTTGGGAAAAACATCAAAGTTGGCTGATGTTGCAAGCAGTGTTGCATGCCCCCCACATACACAAAAGATACATTCAAGTCCAAATTCCCCCAAACTGTGACTGTGACCTCCTTTTGACCTTGTCATTGGAAATATGGTCCTTGCAAATATAATCAAGTTAGTATGTGGTCATACTGGATGGGTGGAATTTAGCTTTGAACGAAAAGAGAAAATTTGGATTTGAGATCACACAGATAGGAAGAAGGTCATGTGAAGACAAAGGCAGAGACTACAGGGGTCACTCACCAGCCAAGGAGCACCGGAAGCCACCACAGCTGGGAGAGATGTGACATGCATGCTCTACTCTGAGCCTCCAGACAAGACTGGCCCTGCAGGTGCCTTAATTGACCCCTAATCTCCAGAACTTTGAGATAGTGTATGTCCATGATCTTAAGCCAGCATGCATGTAGCAATTTCTTACAGCATAACAGAAAAGTAATGCAGGCATGCACAGGCTGTACCTTCTCTGATACTGTGGCCATTGCTATGGCATAGCTAGAAGGTCTACTTCAGGAGAGGAGGAGGGAGGAGCTTAGCATGAGACCTGCTACAGTTTGCATCTATAGCATCCTCCTGTGTGTGAAATGCTCAGCCCCCAGCTTAGAGCTGCAGGAAGGTAGCAGATACTTTAAGAGATAGGGTAAAGTGGCCATTTTCAGGCCACTGGAGGTGTGACCTTGAAGGAGACGGTGAGACCCTGGTCTCCTCTTCCTTCTCTCATTTGCTTCCTGGTTGCCATGAGATGAGAAGCTTTGCTCCACTTTGCACATCTCATTGAGATGTGCTGCCTTGCCATAAAGCAACGGTGCTAACTAATCATACTGGAACATCAAAAACAACGAGCCTAAATTAACCCCTTTCTCCTTAGAAGTTGATTTGTCTCGGGTATTTGTCATAGTGATATAAAGTTAACAAATACATCACCATCCTGAAGAAGTTCCCTATGGCTATATGCTTCTGCTGCTTCTTATACAAACCAAAGGCTGAAAATGAAGATCTTCCAATGCTAGCTTGTATATGCCTGCATCTATATTATGCTTATCTGTTTACACCAGTGTCAGTAGCCTAACTCTTTTGACCAAGTGACATCCTTCATAACTAGCATGAGGGAAGGTGCCAAGGAGATATTCCCACTGTGGCTGGCATCTGGTCTTCACAGCACCTTGAGACAGCTGTCCCTAAAACAGGTGCTCTTTGTTGAGCCAGAGACTAAACAGTCTCCTAGAGAACACACCTAGATCAAGCCCGTATCTATACCTAGCTTGAAATGCTAGCTAGACACACAGTGTGATAGGCCAGCCCTTTACACATCTGTCTGGTTGGCGTCCATTTCTCTTCATTTTGGAATGGGTCATGGAATGGAAGCAACAGATACCTTGTATGAAAACAAGGCATGCAACTGTGCTCTTGCTGGGGTCTCTAGGAAGCTCTCCTAAAGTGTTCTGGATGCAGGAAGAGTTGATCTACCCAGAAGGGAGTCTAATAAGAACAAACCAATTGCAGAGACCCCCCCCACCTGCTCCCCCCTCCTCCTGAGACGTTGGTAAGCTTTGTTAAGCTGCACTTTATTGAATATGTTATTTTCCCCAGAGGACTTCTACTCAGAATCATACTCATGATTTCACATCCTGGGGGCTAAAATATTTTCCTAGGAAGAGAGAGAGATCTCATTCCTGTATTCACAGTCATAAACCAGAGGCTTCTCCAAAGCCCCAGATTTTAAGATTTGGGTTGGCAGGACCTGCACAAGTGTTCTGATGTCCCTGGTCCTTGCCTTCATCTCTTGTTAGTCTTGCTAGTTCAAGGGCCTGTTTATGAAGGCCCATGAAAATAAAAATCTGAGGTCATCTTGCTCACAGTGATAGTTCCAGCCTCCAATGTGGGGCTGGACCCAGAAAAGGTTACTGCTAACTCCTTCTCCCGTGAGTGAGTGTGTGAGTGAGTGAGTGAGTGAGTGGCCTGCTTCTCAGAGTCATCTTGACTCTGACCTCACTGTGCTGGGCAAGCTGGCCATCCTTCCTCTGAGCTCACAACAGGAAGAGGTCTCCAGATGACATGTTGATGCAGACAAGCTGGAGTCAACTTCTTGCCCCAGGTATGTTTTGCAATCTATAAAGGGCAAGGGAGATCGCTTGCAAGCCTCCTTTAGGAGCCAAGAATTTGAACTCGCTATCCTGGCTCCTACAGTGGTGTGGCTCCTTTCCCAGCTACAATGGTGAATTTGTGTCCCAAGTTATTTCTGCTGAGTTGCATGCCCATATGTAACCCTCTCAAAATGAACTGGCTCTCAGAGCCAGCCTCAGGATGCTGAGGTTTGTGCATGCCAGTGGCGTAATTTGGGATCATCATCCCTTCAATGAAGGCTCCAGGCCTGAGGATGTTTGTCCCCAGTCTGTAATAGGCCTCCTGAGCCACCTGCAGCTTACCGCTAAGAGGATGGGGAATGGTGAACTGCTTCTTGTTGGCGCGGACAGGAAGTAGGCTCTGCTTCTGCCCCAGGCTCTCCTTTTGTTGGGTTTTCCTTTGCTGTACCATGTGCTTAAGTTTTTGCAGCCGTTCTTGTGAGCGAGAAATGAACTGAGGTCTATGGACTTCCAGTGCTTCCTGATTGAAACAAAGAACAGACTTTGTTTTTTAAGAGAAGGGAGACCAGTCATCTGATTTACTTGGTGGGAGCCAATCAAGAGCACAATACTCTGGCAAAAGCCACAGTGCAAATCCAACCACCGTCCCCATAACCATGACAAGGTACTGGAGGTCAGTGCGGGCTAGCAGCACAGAGCACACTGCATCAGGACCAAGAAAGTACTAGAACTGAAGCCACTGGGTACAAATGGCCAACATCTGTCTATTTATGGGTTCACGCTGCCAAACCACTCACTGCCAAAGAACCTAAATCTCAGGGTTTTGTAATTCCATATTCTAAGAGACATGGGTGGGACCAGAAGGCAGGTGCTAGAAATCTGCATACTCATTCCTGATGGTCTTAGGCCACCCCGGCAAAAGGTCCATTTGACTTCCAAAGGGGTCACAACTCACAAGCTGAGAAACACTGCTGCAGGGACATGTTCTGCATCTCATTAACTAAGCTCTCACAGGCATTGTCCTGGGTCTGCCTACAGCAGGTGCTCAGAACAGGCTTGCAAGGTGTGCTGCCAGGGTAGAAGTATTCCTTGGTCCTATTCCCTTCCATGCTCACTGGGGGCTCAGAGAGGAACACGCCATAAGCTCTGTCTGCATCATGCTTGGGCCTCTGACAGCTGCACTGATAAAAGAGTCTCTTTGGCAATATTAACCATTAGCTACTGAGTAAGTGACTCACCAGTTGCTAAATGTGCTGGAGCTTCAGGGAAGGATCAAGGCTAAAGACAAAGTCCCTGAGGATGCCCTTGCTGGCCCAAGTGTGGTTGCGGTGTTACTGCTCATGTATATGAGGACATCTTGAAGGTTGGGATTCTGGGGACACCCTAGATGTTTTTCACAGGCTCATCAAAGTTCAGAGATGCAGCAGTGGGCCAATGGAGCTTCCTTTACATTTGTGGGGAGTTGTACCCCATAGCAAGAGCCTTCCCAGAAAGTGTATTTAACTACACAGTATGCTAGTAGCAACAAATTTCTCTGAGGTCATCCATCCTGTTAAGTGTTATAACTTTGATCATGTTACTTCTATAAACAGAGAAGCAGCTTAAAAAATATCTTCCATGTCCTTTAGCTCATAGCTACACAACTTGGAAAGCTTCCTGAAGTGTTCAAAGGCTCTGCACCATCCATCTGACCATGGGATGTCTAGGGGCTCTCATCTGATAGGGATCTCTTGAAAAATCAAATGTGATTCGACCCCATGGGACCTCTGGGCACTGTTTCATTGCCATAGTCATTGACATGGTTGGTAGAACCAACAATCCTTATTTTTACCTGGTGGAGTCAAGTGCTATTGTTTCCATGAGGCAAAGAGCAGAAGCGAAGTTTAGAAAATGTTAGGGAAGGGCCAGAGTGACACAGACAGAAAGCCTGCGAGTCACAGGCAGAAGTGAGGTCAAGTGCATGCCACACTCCCCAGGAGAGACCTCCCTTCAGCTAGAATTAAGCCAGGATGGGGAGATGTAAGAGGCTTTACCTGCAAGGTCATAGAGCTTGCCAGCAGAGGCTCATAACTATCTTCCGATGGGTCAGAGCTCTGTGGTACCCCTGGGGTTGATGGAGAGTGGGTTGCTGGTGAGGGCTCAGGTGTGACAGTGGGGTCTTCATGCTTCTCATATTCCTTTAGTTTTACAACCAAGTCACAGCACGTGTAATCTAGGAAAGCAGATATGTAATACATTTTTAGAAGGCACTCGGTGGCTTTCCTGCCCGGCTGCCTGACACAGGAGGAAGACACACAAGACAATTTAGAAAAAATTAGAAACGCCAGTGAGTTATTAACAGGCCTTGTTAAGCTGACGAGATCCAGCTTCATCACAGACCTTCCCAGCTGCCCCAGTCACTGCGGCAGTCATCCCAAGTCTGTGACTGGCTAGCTAGGCCATGGAGGTGTTCCTTAGATTGCAGTGTTCAGAATGCCTTTGCTCAAAATGAAAGGAGACTTTTCTAGTCTGGATCTCATATTAAGTGTGTCCTGTGTAATTATTACAGTTCGCTTGTTTTGAGACAGCATATTAATCTGTCTTGTGTTTGCCGCACTAATGATATAATGACTGGGAACGGTGCTCAATTATGTATCCCTCCCCTTCATTATCCAGAGCCCACCACTAGCCTCACAGAAGCAATCGGAAGGGTTTCTCTCTCAAAAGCTGGCAGAGCCCTTCCCTGGAACCATTTTAGTTTCCCTTTGTGGAAAGGGTCAAAGATTAATTGATCCCTTGGTGCTGCAGGTGGGGCCAATCCTTGGGTTAGTAGAACAGTTAGTAACTGTTCCAGGTCACCTCCTGACCAAGCCTTGGTCTGGAATGCAAGATAGACCCTTCCATTACCCTTAGTCCACTCTTCTGCTCTGACCTCCTCTACTCTTTACAGTACCTTCTCAACTCCAGCCTCACCTAACTCCTCCTTTGACCTAGTCCAGTATCTTCCTGCTCCTGCAGGAAGGGCCTCTGATCTCCATTAAGTGCATTTGGTTCTGCTTCCTGGTGAACCCTCACCTCCAGGCTGAGCCCTAATGACCAGAGTACCTCCTTGCCTTCCTAAGGTAGGATGCATCCCTGCCTCCTATATTCTTCAGCATAGTCATGAGGTGGGTTGTAGGAGTATGTCTTAGTCTCCCTGGACCATCTGATGCTTCTACCACATGTATCCACAGCACCATGTCTAGGGCTTTGAAGCGGGTGGGAGAGGCAAGGTGGCTAAGAGGAGGCTTTCCTGGTCACAGGAGACAGTTCATCCAAGCTCCTGGGATCATTCATTGTTTATAGCTGTATCCTCTCTGACTGGATGCTTTCTCTCCTCAGGTCCCTTCAGCCCCTAGCTAATCCAGGCCCCCTTGACTCTTACTCCACTTCATGTCACATGATTCTCTGCCAATACCACACTACTTAGAGGTGCTTAGCTCATCCTCTCAGCCTTCAAGCACTTTCTCTTCTTCCTTCTAAAGGATTCCCTCATTCTCCTGCTTTCTCTTTAGGCCTAACTAGTTGTTTGGGCTAGCTCAGGTCTAGCCACTAGCCTGTACCCTCTTCTTCTAAAGTCAATCCCACTCTCTATCACCAGGTTCTCATGTATCCATGTGAACACCTTCCTCCCACCCCACCCCGGTTCCAGAGAAACTAGACTAGTGTCTTCTCAACTCTTTCCTCTTCCATCCTCATGATAGATGATAGGTGAGGATGATAACCCTAGGGCCAGTCCTAGCAAGATGCCTCCTCACTGCTCATGGCATCTGCTCCAATATCCAGAATGTCTTCACCCACACCTCTCCCACCTTAGAGACCTGCCCTTTCCTTCTTGACTGAGTCTCAGTCCTAGCCTGGTTCCTCTTCTATCTGTCCACATATTGCTCCTGGGACCATCATCTGGAATGCAAACCCACTGAGATTCTCTCTTTCAAAGTCTTGGCCCTGCCTGCAGTCCAGACTCCTGTGATGGGTTTAGAGGGCCTTCCAACTCAAACCATGGGGCCCTTGGAGAATCAGAAGTCCCTGGCTTTGGCACTGGTCTCCTGGGCCTCTTGCAATTCTCCAAAGCAGCCAAGGCCTTCCTGGAAGTCTTTGCTTTTTGCACTTTTCCCTTCATCCTTGGGGTGGGGTGTGTGTGTGTTTCTTTTTTTTTCTGTAGTATGATTTTTAAATCTCTAATGGCATTGGCATCTCAAGTGCCAGCTCAGAATCATTTTGGAGAAAGATGTCTGCTGAGACCCTCCCAGAGTGTGGGCCATCCTCAGGCTCTTCATTGTTCACCTCATTACACATAACAGACCTGTGCTTCCTGTACCTCTAAGAGTACTGACCAATTTACAGCAGGTACTTAATAATTGCTTCTGCAATCAATTGGCAGTTCAAAACATAAGAACCACCTCCCAGTAATAGTTATTACTTTTGTCAATTACCATAGTCATTTTAATTTTTATCACCCCAAACCATATGATCTTGTATGTGTCTTTCTGTGTCTTTCTAAGTTCTCTAAAAACATCTTCAGGGTGATAGAAAGTCTGGATTCCCTCCCTTACATTACTAGGCACCAGAGTATTCTCTGTTGTGTTATAACAGAATTGTTCGCTACGGTATTTAGGAGTGGTCAGAAGCCTGACCTACAGGGCTATGATGCCTATGTCCAACTTGACTATTTCTATTTCCTCTGTGGGAAATGGTGATGGGGTCCTGCCTATGTTCACTAGAGCCCAAGTTACTCACTTTAAATGTTGACTGTGTTAGGGACTGCATCCCTTAGCTATTATTCCTGTCAGCCAGATAGTGGGAGCTTTGGCAGCCCCAGAGGCCTATCTTCAGCGAAGCACCCAGATCTTCTAAAACAGAAGTTGCTATGCCCCTTGGGTAGCCTCCTGGGCTTTAGCTGGCACTAGCCTTGGGTGTAGTAAGTCTGGGCCCCCTCATGGTTTGTATAGAGCTGCCTTCTATCTGTTTGCGGAGTATAACTTACTCACCGTGTCTACTTGTTGGTCCTGATCTTTCCTTTTCCTCTGACACCTCCATAAGGCCAGTTTGTGTGAACCATCCTAGAAAGGCACTGAGCTATTTTTTTTTATGCACATTAAGAAAGAGCCCAGGGACTGCCACCCTTCCTCCTTACCTTTTGGGAATTGTGTTTCTATCTGAACAGCACCATCTTCCTGCAGAGAGGCACACACAGTTTGTAAAGGGCAATAAAACCCAGGCAGAGGGACTCTGGATGTCATGAAGTATGAGTATTGCCTCTCGTGGGATTCAGGAGGAATGCTAGGCTGACCATTACTGCTTGGTGAACTGTCCCCATCAGGAGGGAAGTGTTTAATGGGCTTCTGTCCCACTGGGCAAGCAGGAAGAGTTCTTTGTGCTTCTTGTTGCTGCTTCTTGCTTCCAGAAAGTACTTTTGTTTCTATTAAAAATAAAATGAGAGTTGACTCACATTAGTTAGATGAGCCAGCCTCTCAGGTGCCTGATACATTGCCCCTTTGCTTTTCTGGATGGTGGGCTACAGCAGGGCTTCTGGAAACAGTGGGTAGTAGTTGATACAGTTACAACTTTCTTATGTGGTCATCATCCCTGGCCCTGAGCTGTAGGTTAGGTGCTGTATTCACATATACTGCTTCGTTTGTATATATTGTTACCATGTATTTAGCTGAAATGGGACTATTTCCAGTGGTGGCCTTGGGAAGAAGCATCATCTTCCCTATTATGCTCAGCAGAATGTGGGATAGAGCATCTTGAATGTGGGCTTACCTGGCAATACCTGAGTTCAAATCCTACTTCTACCACTTAAATCTCCATAGCCTCATCTATAAAATCTAGGTGGGATAATAATAGAATGAGTGACTATTAGATATTATTCACTTACCATATTATTGGGTTTCACATAAAAAATATAGAACTAGACTATATGCTACAGAATGTATTCAATTATGTCTAATGTACCAAATAACATTATTTATGCAAATATTTAAAGAAGTAAGAGGGAAATACAATGCTTAGGGCATTTTACAGATGCAAAGCATTTGGTTAGCTCCTATATTGGGCTGTTCCTGATATTACAGAGCTACTGATATCAAGCTGTGTGATATAGCAAGTGCAGAGACGTGAAGCAGAAGTTCATGTCCTTGTCACGCTCTGATGAAGAGGTGGCTCCATAGCTGTATGGCACCTGGTGTCTCTACAGTGTGACATTCAACTCCCCAAAAACCTATGTCCACCAATTAGGACCAGTGAAGGAAGCTATATACATCTGCTGTGCACTCACCAAATGCTTCTTTGCATGGGATATGTCTGGAAAGATACGATGGTGGGGGAAAGGGTAAAGCAGACCAGGGGTAGGAATGGAAGTGTAGACACTTTCTTTCTGCTCCCTGTTTAATAGGGTTGGATAACTTGGAGATATATGTATATATATATCCTAAACTTTCTTTCACAAAATTCTATAAGCTGTTCTTTTTAAATAAAGTCATGACTCTTCTGGAGTTACTATCATCCCATGCTGATATCCCTAAAGAAAAATGGCTCCACTGAAGGTGCAAGCCACTGCTGTTAATGAGAAGTGCCTCTAAATGTTTATATGTTGGGAAAAATAGTAGGTACCACTGGAATGAAGAAAGGAAAGGAGACCCACACTGTTTTCTCAAGTGTGTCCTGTACAGGAAAGCATGGATCCATAAGACCTGCTCTGAGCATGTCACTGGTGAGGTGTCAACAATGTCCCAGTTTCTATAGCTGACTTTTCCCCTGTGTATCTGAGAGCAGCTGGAGGTAGGTGATGCTAGGTCATGCCATCCAATGTGAAAAGCAGAGATATTAGAGCATAGGCACACCTAAAATCACCCTTATAACTCTTGGGTCTAGCACAGAGCAATTAAGTTGGCAGATTTCTGTTCCTGATCACTATGAGGGTGAATCTGTATTTCCTGTGCTTTTTAAGCAAAACACAGGGAAAGTTCCTACCAGTTCCAGGCCAAAGTGCTGAATCTGCAGCAGCTGCTGGACTTGTTTTTGAAGTGGAGTCATCTCCACATACAATAAAGCTGCATTTTGCTAAATTGTATGGAAACATGCTTATAAACCTTTACTCCAAAAAATCACCAATTATGTTTAATTATAAAATACCGTAGGCAGAAAATGGCCTATTATAATAGTCAACTTTTCTACATGGCTTCCTTTTATAAGAGATGCTCAGAAAAAGATGTACAAAAACCAACTAATTATCAGGTATGCAATCTCTGCCAGCTAACAGAGATCATCTGCACCTAGGGTTACTTAAATCAATGTATTTTGTATAGATTTATGGAGTATAATGGTCAATATTCCCACCCATGTAGCATCTGTCTTTCCCCAGGCCCTTCCTCCTTTTCTTGTTATTGTCTATTTGCCTAGTTGTTCTAATATAATGGGCATAAGTTTAAATGCTTTATTTGTGATTTGAAAGGGTTAAAGCAATCCCAGAGAGTAGAATACAATTCCTACAGTGGCTATTGACCATGTATCTTTTGTGAACTTTGTGAGTATCTTGCTGTCTCTTTTGTGAGTTCTGAAACATGGCCTTGAAAGCCATGGCAATGAGAAGGGTCCTTAAATATTTATATGTTGGGAGAGGGGAGAAAGGAATGGGTACACTGGGATAATGAAAGTTAGGAGATTCACAGGTTGTTTTCTCATGGGTCTATTCTGCAAGAAAAAATAAGCCCACAACATAGGCCTGCACAGGCATAGGCAGGTAGTATACATGGACTTTTTTGTCCCATACATTGAGGAGGTTGGACTTTGGGTTCTTCATTCATGCCCTGTATTCATTTTCTCAAGGTTGGGGCTGAAATAAATAACAGAAACAACTGATGGAAGTGAGGATTTTGTTGCTGGTTTTTTTTGCTTGTTTTGTTTTGTTTTTTTGTGGTTTGAGGGGGGATAGATCCCCTCATAGTGGAAAAGCATCATGTTAGAAGTGGTTTAGTTAGACTATATAGGAGTTTCTGGAGCAACTTCTTCATTTTCTCCTGGAAGTAGAGGAAACTCCAGCCAAAAGCCAATCAGCCTGCCCGACCTCTATGGTCCTATATATGTCAGCAAGATCTTATGTCCTAAAGTTTCCACGACCTGCCCAAACAGTGCTCCCAAGTGGCCACTAATTGTTCTAACATAGAAGCTGGTTTGGGACATTTTATACCCACTCTATGACCCTTTAGAGGTGATACTTTACTATTACAGGCTCTGCTTGGGTAAGACAAGCATGGAAAGGCAGTGTCTATGACACCGATTTTGTGATTTTGTCTCCTTCCTGAGTCTGTACATGAAGAGGATTTGGCACTACACGTTTTTTTCCTAACAGGAACATAACAGATTCTTTTCATGTTGTTGCTTGATGTACTAGAGCTCCACTCTGAGCAAACTTGCCTGCCCTAGAATTGAAACTGCCTAGATACTAGAAAATAAACAGACACCAACAGATGATTCTGCCCAGCAGTTACAAAACAAACAAACAAACAAACAAAGAAACAAACAAACAAACAAACAGGTGTTATATCCTTGGCTGGGAAGAATATTAGGCCATCATGTATCATCCACTTATACCTTTATCAATCTCAATACACGTGTATGTTCTTAATACCAAAATTCTACACACCATGCCCAAAGCCACTGTCCAGTCACTGTGTCTATTGTGAAGGCTTCCAGAAGAGAATCTGTCAGAGCCAGAAGTTAGCCAGTAAATTGTGTCCTAAACATACATGACTAACCCCAGTGAGAACATGCAGGGCTGCTGTATGGTCAGGCATGCCAGCTAGTGGTTGTGGGTTTGGTGGAGCATGCTACTCCACATTTCTAGATCCTGACCTACCTATGTACAGCAGCAGATCTTAAGACAGACAGATCGGGGAACCAGGAAGCAAACCAGAGCCTCTGACAAGAGAAGCCTAAATGGGATAGCAAGGACCTTAGTAATACAGGATCCAGATCATCCAAGAAGGGGCCTGTGCAGGCCAGGCTAGGGCACTACCAGCCTACACAGGTTCTTAGGACAGCAGAACAAGATAAGATGGGCATTTCTCTGGATACTTTGCCTCCAGTGGCAGTAACATACCACCATTCACACTGACTTGATAGAAAAAGTCACTTTCCTGTTTCTTTCCCAGTCTCTAGGAGATGTGTAGATTTCAGAGCTGCAATGACTAAGAGATTCTGGATCATAGCAGACAGCAACAACGTGCTGAGCAGATGCTCACAAAGACAGACACAGCACTAGGACTCTGTCAGCCAGATGTCAAAGGCAGAACATTAAATCCAGAAAAAGTGGACATGAGAGCCCATAAGGGGCAGCTGCACAAACAGTCCACGGTGCAGGCCAGGCTATCATGTGCAGAACTCATCATGTTTCCATCATTGATAATGTGAACTAGATTAAACTGTGCCTGGATGTTGAAAGACTTGAGAAGAGATTTAAGCTCTCCTTGTGTGGAGATGGGCAACTTTGGGGTAGTACCACACCCCACCCACTGTATACTTCTGTTGAAAATCAGACATTAATTGCTTCAACATATTTCTGCCCAGTCTCTACAGAGCTTGCATGACATTCTAATGATGAGGGAGGGAGGGAAAAGGGTGAAGAGACAGAGAGGACATGGGGTAAATAGCTCCCTCCTGCCTGAGAGACAGGGGAATCCTAAGCTGTATTACCTGCTAGATCTTCACATTGATCCATGGAGCAAAAGCAGAGTCACTATCACTGGGGTGGCTGAGGGGATAAAGTACTTACCATGCAGGCCTGAAGACAAGGGTTAGGATCTCCAGATCCATGTAAATGGTGGCTGGTTGGAGCAGCCAGCCTGAAATTCTAACATTTCAGTGGCCAAGATGGGGGATTCGTGCAGCAAGTTGGCTCACTAGGCGAGCTGAGCTGAGAGAATTTGGGTTCAATGAAAGACCATGCCTTGGTATGCAAAGTGGAAAGTTGCCGAAGATGGTACACACACCAACTTCTAGACTCTACACACATCCATAAGTGCCTACACACATACAAGTGAATCGTCACATGTAAACATGCAAACAGACATGTAAGGGGGGGTGCTGCAAAGCCTGGGGGGGTGGGGGATGTGCAGAGGTGAAGCACATTAGAGTCCTTCCCCTGTTGGAACTGAGGCTTCCTGGAGATGCCAGCCCTTTCCTGGACAGTGAGCAGCTTTCTTCTAACCACAAAGATATCAGCAGTTTTTCTTTCTGAAAGGGTAAAGGGAGGAGGGACTGATGACCAGAAAAGGCTGGCTTGTAAAAAGTAGCTATAGTCACTGACTGAGGAAAGAGGCTGGGCAGAGAGCTGCTGTGCAGATTTCACAGTGGTGTTTGAATATGAACGGGCAAGCCTATGAATAAGAAGCACTCTACATTGAAAGAAAGAGGAAAAAC